ATTCTGTAAGTTAACCTTCCTCTTTAACTCCATAAATCAATGCAGTAATGGTGAAGAATGGTACAAACTCCGCCATGCTGTGCAGATGATGATGCTCCGTCCTCGTGAAGTGAGTTACTACTACCCCTTGCAAGATGGAGTGGCAAAAAAGGCTGTTGAGAAGCTAGCAGCAGAGGTCGATGAGGATGGGGTTGTCTCCGATCTGCACACACTCATTAGCCAGTGGATTCTTGAATGTAAGAATTAGGAAGTAACTGATTGCTTTTTGGAGCTAGAATGATTAGGATAAGGGAATTAGTTTGATTGATAGGACAAGGGGAGAAGTGTGGGCTGGGGAAGGGGTAAGATCACATCAACAAAATGTGATTCTATTTTTCATAAGAGGGAAGGTGGATGGTTGCATAATAGCACAAAGAAATGAGCTAACTAATTTCATTGACAAAATTCTATAAAAAGAAATGAGCTAACTAATTTCATTGACAAAATTCTGTAAAATGTGATTAATATTTTTATTTTGCAAGATAATATGGGAGTGAGATTTGAGTTTACATCTTCTAATGATGTAATATCAAAATAAGTTTTTCCATTGAGTGAATACTTGTTATCTTTTATATCTTTTCTACATGTAAATTCACTTTTGGTTTGAAAGTATTTTTATGCATATTGTTGTATATCTGTATTTTGTTTCCTGTGAATTTTGTGATATACTATGTAGTAAAATCTACTAAGTAAGGATAAGAAAAGATTCTGGATATAGGGTTTATATAGGTCTTAAGTGATTTCTCTTTTTTGCAGTAGCTTTCTATGTGCTACCAGTGAATAACAAGAGGTACATTAGAGTGAAGTGCACTTACTTTTATGAACGTATTGATTGATTGTCTAAAATATACAGCTGCAGGCATGTGTTGCTTTGAGAGATCCCTTGGTTGCCTTAGTGGAGGCCATGAGGAAGAACTGGCAAAGAATCTGGTCAGGACTAATGTGGAAATATTTAAGGTATGGTAGTAATGGTTTTATAATTTTCCCTCTGGATGTTTGTTTTTAGTATATGTTATTGTTATTATTACTGTAGTTATTATTATTATTATTATTACTATTGTTATCATCATTGTTATTATTATTATTATTATTATTATTATTGTTATTATTATTGTTATCATTATTATTCTTGTTATTATCATTCTCATTATCATTATTATTGATATCATTGTTATTTATATTATTGTTATTATTATTTTATTGTCATCATTATTATTATTATTGTTATTATTATTTTTATTATTATTATTATTATCATTCTCATTATCATCATTATAATTTTTCAATATCATTGTTATTATTATGATGTTATGATAATTATTATTATTATAATAATTGCTATTGTTATGGGTGGGTGATTCACGCACATGGTGATGTGAAATGATGTTATGCTCCTCCCACCCAATAAGAGAGGCAGTCCATGGGCCCCGTTGGAAGGTTGACTGCCGGGACGCAGGATGAGAATGGGAAATATGGGAACTAATTGCCCCACCTGCGTTCTTGCAGTCACCAGCACAGAGTGAAGCTTGCGGGGTAATGCCTTAGGGTGCTGCGCTGCTGGTTGATGGGTCCTGTAGCCTGCTGCCCCCTTTTATATGGAGCAGCGTTGGCGGGGGTGGCAGAGGTGGCGTCCACCCAGAGTGACTACCTGAGGCTAAACTTCAGGCGGGAAGTCAGGGTGAGGGCTTGGAATGTCCGTTCTTTGCATCAAGATGATTGGTTGCCTCTGCTGTTAAGGGAACTGGGGAGGCTGAGAATGGAAGTGTTGCTCTCTTGGAAGTGAGAAGACCTGGTAACGGCTTGATTAGTGTAGGTGGTTACACCTACTGCTGGTCGAGCCACAGCGACGGTCACCATCTCTAAGGAGTAGCTATGACCATCTCCATTAGACTCCAGCCCTCGGTAGTAGAGGTTACTCCAGTTGATGAGCGTATAATGGTAATGAGACTTACCATTTTTAAATTTTTCTTGCCGATTTTGATGAAACTCACACCCTTTTATATAGGCCCTTGATGAAACTCACACCCTTTTATATAGGCCCCTTCCCATTGCATGTGGTCGATTCTTTTCAAAATCAGCCGAACAGTTTTTGAATTATTATAAAAAAAACAAAAATTTTTGGAAAAAAAATCTGAAAATGCTGCATGGGGGAAAAACTCTCATGGCTTCAAAAACATAAGACATTCAATTTTATTTGATTTTTGCACAGAACTATGCTATAGCTACAACTTGTTTGAGAGGTTTTTTTTATATCAGATTCATTTTTTTGTGTGTGAATTTTTGAAGCACAAGAAGCACAGGCAAAAGTTACAAAAATGCCCCCCCCCCCCCAAGGCATTTTTTGTTTTCCTCATCTTTTCATGATTATTTTCATATTAACCAAACAAGGTATAAGAGTAGCCTTACTACACTATAATCGTCATCTACGTGCATTCCGAAGTCTTCCAGACATTGCCAGCACGTAACGATTTTTCAAAATCTTACATAGAGTGTAGAGTGGTCGCAATGACCTTGGGTGTCTGTAGGCCTACATTGACCATTTTAAAACATTTCCTCAAAAATCCAAGAAAAATCATACAGCCATGCCATTTCGTGTCTATATAGAACCAGCCTTCTACTTTATATGCAGAAGTCATTTTTGAGAAGTCGATCTTACTTTTTTTTTTGGTGAATATTTTCCGAAGCCCACTATCTCGACACCCTTAAAAGGGATACTATAAATATATGTCACTTTTTTAAGAAGCACATGACATTATAGCAATTTCTTATTGCAGCATGTAATAGATCTACTATTCAGCTACAAAATGAGCCATAACACGTTAAAATCGGACTGAAAATGCATGTGCTATGCACAAAAATACGAAGGACCTCAACATTTCTATCTTTTTCCTTTTCATTATTCTTACATTTTACAAGACAAATCATGGACGAAGTATTTGTATAAGGTATTTGCAATTATCGTTTTGTTGCTCTAATGGGGTTTTGCAATGTATAATATTGGTAAAAAGAATAACCGTTTTCCAGTCGGATGGGTATCGTACGCATTCTTTTCTCAGCGCATCTGGTCGTCAAAACATATACAACGAATGTGTTGCATTTGTGGATCACTGGCGTTTAACTCTACGGGGCCGTATAGCCAATTTTCACACTCAGACTCCCGTGAAAGACGAAAAACAAGTACATTGCGGTGTAAAAATATGTATATCAGGAATGTAAGCACATATGTAAGCACATATAGAACATTTTCGTGTACCCCATGACCGTTTGTTTATTTATATTGTTACTTCTGTTTGTTTGTTTGTTTGTTGTTTTTTGTTTATTTGTTTGTGTTTTCTGATATTTCTAAAAGTTATGAACACATTTTAATGAGATTTTAACCAAAGGTATGTTTTAACTTAGATGCCTGCTCTTTGGTGGTGATGTGGACCATGGTTTGGAGCCAGGATTTTTTTTTTTTTCTAACTCGAAGAGTTATGAACAAATTTTAATATAATTTGTCTTAGCCTAATTAATATTCCATAAAATTTGGGTGGTGATCGGGGTCTTTTGGCAATCTTGCCCCTTATTTGGGAGGGAGGGTTTGCATTTGCGAAATGTTTTGCTCATAGTTCAAACTATGTATGATGAAAACATAAAGAAAATCAAATATTCCATATGAATGGTATATCATGTTCATTTATTCGTATGAAAAATTTCTTCATTATCGTTTTTTTGACGCTTGCCATATTTTAAAATTATTCCGAAAAAATAAAGGTTGGTCTCATCTTATGTGAAATTTATTAAGCTTTCAGGAAGTAATCTCATTTTTTTTATTATCTCTAATCATTGCATCACAATTCCTGATTTTCTAAGATAACATGAAAAAAATAATATTTCAGTTGACATCAAAAATGGCTGCTACCACCTAAAAAATAACGGCAGTGCCTTGAAATTTTCAGGGAAGAACTCCTTGAAAATACATTTAACTCAATTTCGGCAAGATGGGCGAAAATCGTCGTAAAAAGACCCCTTAAGCTAGTATTTGGCTTCATGTCTCTTATTGCTGTGTATGCTCCTACCCATGTTTGTAAACTTGACGTGAAAGAGATGTTCTACACCACACTAGCATCTGTGTCAGGCAGGTGTCCCCTGTGAGATATTCGTATTGTTCTGGGTGACTTCAAAGTGGTATCTGGCTGTGATCGAGTTGGCTATGAGCTGTCTGTCGGTCCCCATGGTTTGGGAGCTGATGCTGGCAGCAAGAATAACCTCCTTTTCTGGGACTTTGCTAGGTCCCAGAAATTGAGGATTTTGGGCTCCTGGTACCAGCGCCCAGACCTACATCGCTGGACGTGGCATTGGCTGCTTGCATCCTACATCAACCTCAATTAGGTGTTCGATACGGTACATCGGGAATCACTCTGGGAGATCCTGAGACTGAGAGGAATTCCAACAATGATTATTAGACTAATAGCAAGTCTCTATACTGGTACTGAAAGTGCTGTAAAGTGTGGTGGGGGCTTGTCGAGCTTCTTTCCTGTTCAGGAGTGAGGCAAAGCTGTGTCCTTGCATCAACACTTTTCAACACTTACATGGACAGGATAATGGGCAGAACTACTATTCAAAGTCATTATGGAGCAACTCTGGGCAATATCAAGGGTACCGACCGTGACATTGCTGATGATGTTGCTATTCTATCTGAGTCCTTGGAATCTGTAGTGGTGGCTCTCGATGCATTTAGTAATGAAGCGAAGAAGCCCTTGGGTCTAAAGGTCTCCTGGACCAAGACCACGATCTAGGACTTTGGGGACTTGCTAGGAGTACCTGTTCGGTCGGTTGAAGTCACAGAGAGCTTTACATACCTTGGTAGTGTAGTTCATAACTCTGGGCTGTCAGACCAGGAAGTCAGCAGACAGATTGGCCTGGCAGCAGGGGTCATGAACTCTCTTGACAAGAGTATTTGGAGATGCCGGTACCTGTGCAGAAGGACCATTCTATGTGTCTTCAAGGCCTTGATAATGCCAGTTTTGCTAGACAGTAGTGAAACCTGGACATTATCCTGTGCATGGGAGTCACATCTTAATGCTTTTTGCAATAGGTCCTTGCCACGTATCAAACCAACGGTTGCATCATGAGACTGGCACAGGACCTATTACCTGCACAATCCATGATCACCAACTCAGGCTATACAGCCACCTAGCTTGCTTCCCTCTGGATGATCCTGCCCATCAGGTTGTCTCTGTTCAAGACAACACTGGGTGGAGGAGGCCTGTAGGACGACCTAGGAAGTTGTGGCTTGCGCAGATTGATCAAACCTGTCATGAGGAGCTTGAGATGGGTCGAGTCCCTGCCTGGCGTCATGCCATGACGGACTCTCTTAGGTGCACACAAAGGGTGGATGCGGCTATGTGCCCTTGTCGGCATTAGCTCCATGATAATAATGATTGTTAGGATGATGATGATGATTATCATTATTATTATTTATTTTCATTTATTTATTTATTTATTTTTATTAACGTTATTATTATGGTTAGTATTATTATTGATATTATCTTTATTTTTGCTGTTGTTGTTATCATTATCATTATTATTATTATTATTATTATTATTATTATTATTATTATTATATTTTTTTTGGTTATTATTATTATTATTGTTATTATTTTTTTTCATTGTTATTATCATTATTATTATGACTGTTATCATTATTATTGTTGTTATTGTTGTCAATAATAATAATGTTAATAATAATGATGATAATGATAATAATAGTAATAATAATAATAATGATAATAATAATAATAATGATAATAATAATATTAATAATAATAATAATAATAATATAATATAATAATAATAATAATAATAATAATAATAATATATAATAATAATGATAATGATAATGATAATGATAATAATAATGATAATAACATTAATTATAATAATAATGATAATAATGATAATGATAATAATAATGATGATAATGATAATGATAATGATAATAATGATAATATTAGTAATGATAATAATGCTAGGAATAATGATAATGATAATAATAATAACTATGATAACAAGATCAGTAATAAGAAATGAATGACTATAGTAATTATGAAAATAATAATGATGTTAATAATGATAATAATGATATTCTAATAATGATGATAATAATGATAATGATAATGATAATCATGATTATGTTAATAAAAATAATGATAATAATAATAATGATAATATTGATGATGATAATAATGATAATCATGATTATGATAATAATGATAATCATGATTATGATAATAATAATACTGATAATGATAATGATAATCGTGATTATGATAATAATAATAATGATAATAATAATGATATTATTGATAATAATAATAATAATGTTAATGATAATCATGATTATGATAATAATAATCATGATTATGATAATAATAATAATGATAATATTGATGATGATGATGAAAGTAATGATAATGTTAATGATAATGGTGATTGTGGTGATGGTCATGATAAAATTATAATAATGATAATTATTATGATTATTATTGTTATTATTAGTTTTTTCTTCACTGTTATTCTTTTCTCTTTTTTTTTTGTTTATTATTTTTTCATTTTCATGTGTACTAGAAATATCATAAATCAATTAATCATAACATCAAGTTGTTTGTAAAGAAACTATGGATCTGCATATTATGAAATGAATTTGTGATATTGCTAAATATCCCTTCCTTTTGTTATCACATTTTTTTTGTCTGTTCTTCGTCAGCTGTCCGCTGAACTGAAGTTTTCAATGAGAATATATCGATATTTCAAGACGAGGAAATATAAGAAACTTCATAATCTTGAGGACTCTTTTTATGGGTAAGGTTTTAACACTATAAGTTTGTATTTGTTATGTCTTTTTTCTTCTTTGTAATGGTGATATCAGATATTGTAAATGGAATATTGGATGTTGTTTTTTATTCCTTTATTCCTTTATTCATTCTTTCTGTATTTAATGAAAAATTTAGTTTTTATCTTATCCATTATGTAATGTGATACATACAAGGCTTATATATGCATGCATAAGTTAAATTATTTAACATAATACAATCAGTGTTTGAAGAGGAAGAGAGTGCTTTTATTGATATAATGGAGTTTGTGTATTGTAATTTTTATAGATATTTTTTGTATGCATTTTAATATCTTTACATTGGGAAGGGTCCCTTCTTTCTAAATCTTTTGTCTCCACATCCTTGCAGAATCTCCATAGACTTTATCACAGATGCACTGAACCACATCAAAGGCCTTGCAGCAGAGAATAAACTACAGGAGGGGGACTTCAACTTCCTCTCATACTTGATGTCGCGGAAGGAGCTCTCCCATAAGGATATTGTGACCATCACTCTGTCACTATTTTCTGATGGTCTTTCTACGGTAGGGTAGATGGGTTTGTGGAATAAAATGGTTTGATGTGTGTGAAATGATGTAGCTGATTCTGTTATATGTTTCATTTGTTTGTGTGTCTTTTAGGCTTGCTAGCTGAACTCATTTCTTGATTGTCTGTATTGCATTGATGATATTAACCCACTAAGCTGGGATGGCACCACATGGATGGCATGTCCACTATGGTTTTAGTTTGTTAATTGTGCTTACACATAGATGGCTCCATGAGTACTCCACCAAGGAATCAATTACTAATCACTTATTTACCTTTTTCTTTGATTTTTGGAGTTGCCATTTTTACTTCTTTATTGTCATTATAACAATATAAAAATCATAATATCAACAATAACAATATCAATGTGAATAGCATAAAAAGAATCCAGAAAATTCAAGGAAGAGGGAAATAAATCAGGTTATGAAAAGCCAACTGATTGACTCCTTTGTGGCTGAGCACTTGTAGAGCCGTCTGTAATCCACAAAAAACTACAGTGGAAAGTACATTTTTTTCACATCTGAAACCTCAGACACTTTGTTACATCCTCAGGCATGGTAATATTATGATTTAACATTATATACTCAAAAATACTAAAGAAAAGGCTGTATATTTTTATTTATTAATGTGGTACAGTTATTAAGACTAGTAAATGCTTGTGATCATTGGAATTATCCTGTTATGTGATATTTGGACTTGCTGTGATTATGATAAGATGAAAAGCTTCAAGGAATAATACATCCACTTTCCATATGAAAAATAACAGAGGTACAATTAGACAAGACAAGACAAGACAAAAAAAAACAACAACGCTGAATCTGAGAAATATATTTAGAAGTTTCCACAGCATGCAATGCAAACATTAATGTATGAATAAGCAGTATCAGTCACAGAGTAGTCAGGTACTTTCCTTTTTATTTTAAACTTGTGTATAAATAAGCAATATCAGTCACAGAGTAGTCATGCACTTTCCTTTTTATTTTAAGCTTTGATAAATTTTGCTTCTAATAAAAATCATGCCAGTGTTTTAAGTAATTTAACTGTTTTCTATAAATTTGTGTGCAGTAAAGAAAAATAACTTTTGAAAACTTTTGTACATCAGAACACATATTGATGATAGCTCTTGAAACAGTTGTGTTCTGTTGCAACAATGAGGCAAAATCAAACAATATATCAAAGTGCTTGGGGTTAAGAGGTACTATAAAAAAGGCTTGTAATGAAATATGCACAGAGATATATTATTACAGAAGAAACACATTTTATTTTATATTTTGCTAACCCAATATAACATATATATTGGTATTACTATCATTATGTACCATAGAATGCCACAAAAAATCCACAGAAATACCTAATTTTTTTACCAATTTTTTATTCTCTCTTCTTTGCTACTAAACCAGACATCACCTGTCCTCTTGGGGAACCTGCACTGTTTGGCTTTGAATCCAGAAGTACAAGAACGGCTCTATGAGGAAATAAAAAAGAATGTTGATCAGTCTTCACCTATCACAGTAAACATAATCAATCGGCTGCACTACCTGAAGGCTTTTGTGAAAGAGGTATTTAGGTAAGTTCTGATTCCTCTTGAAACAGAGAGAGTTTTTAGGTAAGTATTGTCTTTTTAAAGTAAGCAGACAAAAGATGTGAAGAAAGAGGTTTTTAGGTATAAGTTGCAGTCTGAATTGAGTAGTTGTAAGATGAGAGATCAAATTCTTTGGTTTTTGCTTAATTTGAATTAAGCATGAAAAATGGAAGATGTGACTCATGTGTAGAAGGGTTTTTATTCTTTGAAATGAACAGAAGGAAAGGGAAAGGAAAAATCAGATGTATTGCCCAGGTACTGTCCTTCCCATGTTTAGTGTGATTAGAGTAAGATGTCAGATGATTTAGATTAAGTCAGTATTCTCACAATTGTTCAAATTGATGTTTTTTTTTAGTTCAGAGCTAAATTATCTCTGAGGGTTACCAGCTAGTTTGCAATACTCTTTGCAAGCTATTGAACTGGACCTAGACCACTTTATTTGGCTGTATAATTGAGAATGATATCTTTTTTGCCTTTGTGTTAAGATAAGGAAACAGACAAACAGTAAGAAAGTATGGGTCAGTGGATATAACCATAGTTATTATAGGTAGTAGGAATCCATAAGGTCAGTGATGTAACCGGAGTCCTATGAGTCATACGAGTAAAAGAGTGGATAAAAGAAGTAATAATAATATGTGAAAGAATGGCAAGAACAGTATACACATGTACAGACACGAGCTCATGCACACGCACGCAACACCCCCGGCCTTTCCTCACACACACACTTTCATATACCTTCACTAATAAACACAAACACATACGCAGAAAATACAAACACATACAAACAGGCACACATACAGACATACACGGAAAGAGACACACACAAACAGTCACACACACACAGGCAGATAGACACGCACAGGCAGATAGACACACACACACAAACACGCACACAGATGGACACACACACACACACACACACACACACACACACACACACACACACACACACACACACACACACACACACACACACACAC